TGTACTTAAGACTGCTGACAGCTACCATAATCTGGGGGTTACCCAATATGCACTTAAAGATTACACCTCAGCCGCTGAGTCACACAAGCGAGCACTTAACATCAGACAAAAGGTATTGGGTGAAGAACATGAAAAGACTGCTGACAGCTACCATAATCTGGGGGTTACCCAATATGTACTTGGAGATCACTGCTCAGCTGTTGAGTCACACAAGCGAGCACTTAACATCAGACAAAAGGTATTGGGTGAAGAACATGAGAGGACTGCTGACAGCTATTATAGCCTGGGATTACCCAATATGCACTTAAAGATTACACCTCAGCCGCTGAGTCACACAATCGAGCACTTAACATCAGAGGAAATTTATTGGGTAAAGAAATGAAAAGACGGCTGACAGCTACTATAAGCTCGGTGTTACCCAATTTACACTTGGATTACACCTCAGCCGCTGAGTCACACAAGTGAGCACTTAATATCAGACAAAAGGTATTGGGTGAAGAACATGAGAGGACTGCTGACAGCTATGATAGCCTGGGGGTGAACTAATATGCACTTAAAGATTACACCTCAGCCGCTGAGTCAGACAAGCGAGCACTTACCATCAGGCAAAAGGTATTGGGTAAAGAACATGAGAGGACTGCTGACAGCTATGATAGCCTGGGGGTTAACCAATATGCACTTAAAGATTACACCTCAGCCGCTGAGTCAGACAAGCGAGCACTTACCATCAGGCAAAAGGTATTGGGTGAAGAACATGAGAGGACTGCTGACAGCTATGATAGCCTGGGGGTTAACTAATATGCACTTAAAGATTACACCTCAGCCGCTGAGTCACACAAGCGAGCACTTACCATCAGACAAAAGGTATTGGGTGAAGAACATGAAAAGACTGCTGACAGCTACTCTAGACTGGGGATTACCCAATATGTACTAGATAAACGAAATTCTCTCACACGGTATTTAAGGTTAATATCTTGGAAGTCTTTGGACCAAATTTCAAGGTAATCCGTAGAGGCTACATACCCTATTAATTCATTCAAAGAAGGCACATTGGCGTATACGCGAAGTAGGTTTTTTTTTCTCGCATCTCATGAGACTCTAAGCAAATACATATTTTACGGGTAACTATCCAACGATTATTAAGGCACCTGTGACAGACCTTAATGGTCCTTTGGCTCAGTTCTGCCGTTAAGGACCCGAGTCAGAAATCCGGTTTGGTTTTTCCTGAGCAGGAAAATGTACAATAGGCGCCACAAGGCAGTTTTTGATTGGCGTTCATTGATGTGCTGGACTTAGCCTAGGAACGAGGTTGAATTTTGGCATCGACTGTCGACTGTTTCCGGGTTGAAGTGCTGAGCCGCACATAAGCGATACCCAAGGCTTTTCACAGTTTACACTTATCTTCCGAATGAACTGTGGCGAACAAAACAACACATTTTCCTGACAAAAAAGGCTTTTGGAAGTTACTGCCACATATCTTTTAATTTCCATAAGTCAAAAAACTTGCGGGCTATAGCATGCCTTTGGTGGTATATCGTTCAGAGGCAGAAAACTTCAGAAGTTTGTTATCAGATGTGAGCGGGAGAAAACCTTGTAAGCAAAGATCATCGCGTTCAAATACATATATTTATTGAGCGACTGTTGGGATAAAGTAGACATAGGAATGGAAAATGGAGAAATTTGGCTCGTGCATGCAGAGAAAGATAACTTAACGTCG